ACCATTTCTGTTCCCAATCTCTTAATACAGTTTTGTTTAAATCAATAGTCAGTGCTAGGATTACTAAGAGTATTAAATATTGTATACTGCTGAGTCAAGTAGTATACTTTGATTGCATTAATATCTTTAACATCTTACCCTCTATAGTTAATACAATAATTGAATTTTCCCCCATTTGCTTTATTTTCTATGTACCTATGGCTGATTTTTTTTCAGCTGTCCCAACAGACTTGTCAGACACCTAGCAGCAATTTTCCAAGATGCTCAAAATATCATATAATCTGTCAGTTCGAATCCCCCACTCCTATCTCCTTGGAGACCTTCCTGCTTCACTGTCTGTCCTCCTATTGATATATTGTGATTGCCTTCTGGACTAGATATGTAGCCGTCACACTGAGGCCTCCTTTTGCCATTCTCTAGTGTTAGATCAACTAATTCCTGAGTCCCATATAGTTTGCCTTCCTGCTTTATTCATATATTCCTTCAATTTGTTTCAAGAATACTGCATCTTCTAGTTGTTTCCTAAAAAGAAATATTTGAAAGTTAAAATTTTTGTCTCCTTATAGGGCCAAAAAGGTTTGATTGGGTATAGAATTCTAGGTTGAAAGCAGTATTCCTTCAGAATTTAAGTTATTTCTTCATTGTCTTCTAGGATGTTGTGTTATCAAATATTCAGAATTTCATTCCTTTATGTGTAACCTGTTTTTTCTATCTGGAAACATTTATGATCTTTGCTTTATCTTGATGCTCTGAAATTTTTTATCAACATGCCTTGTCATTGTTCATTCATTGCTCTGGATACTCATTTGTTTACTCAATAAATATTTATAGAGAAATCACTCTGCACACACACACACACACACACTGTTCTAGGCACTGGGGATACAGTAGTGAACAAAATAGACAAAATCCCTTCCTGTCATTGGAATTTACATTCTAGTGATGAAGGCAGAAATTAAGAAATAAACTCTTATATAATGAAATGTTAGATAGTGATAAGGACTAAAAAGAAATACAGAACAGAGAATGAGAGTATAATTTTTCAATAGAGTAGGCAGGGAATGACTCTTTGAGGTGACAGTTGAGCAGAGACCCAAATGAATGAGGACACAAGCCGTGTGACTATCTGGAGGAAGAGTGTTCTAGGTGAAGGGAACAGCAAATGCAAAGATTCTGAAGCAGAAATATACAAACAATGATTGAGAAGCAAAAGGCCAGTCTGGCGGCAATGGAGTGAGTAAGAGAAAGAGTGGTAGGAAATGAAATTGGAAATGTAGCCGCGGGCCAGGAAATTTAAGGCCTTGGTAAGGACTGTGGAATTTATTTTATTGGAGTCTTTTGAACAAGGACAAAATTATATTTTAAAGAGTCACATTGGTGGGAGTATGAATTGGTATGGAAATTGACTGTAAAATTAGCAAGAGTGGTAAATAATGAGACCTCTTAGTGGGCTATTTCAGTAGTCTGGGTAAAAGAAGCAGTGGCTTAGGTGTAATAGCTTAGTAATAGTGAGAAATGGTCAGATTTGAAATATATTTTGAAAGGAGAGCCAAGAGAATTTGCTGATGGATTAGTTAGGGGTGAGAGAAAGAGAAGAGTAAAGAATGAATCTTTAGATTCTTGGCTTAAGCAACTTGGGGAATGGTGAAGACTTATGGAGTGTTTGGGGTATAGGGTCCTGTGGGATTGAGTTGTGTTTTGGACATGTTGGGTTTAAGCCAAGAGGAGTTGTCCAGGAGGCAGATGGTCATCCGAGTCTAGGGTTCATAGGAGATATGAGGAGAGATGAAGGCCGGAGATAAATTTGGAAATCCTTCATGTATAGTTGGTATTTAACACATGGTTCTGGATGAATTTCTCCTGTGGAGTGAGGATAGATAGATAGAGGTCTGAGGATTGAACTCTGGAGCACTTCAGCATTTAGAATTGGAAAATGGAAGAGAATCAGAAAAGGAACAGCCAGTGAGATGGGGAGAAATTCAGGAGGATTTGTATTCTAGAAGCCAACTAAATAAAGTCTCTCAAGAGGAGGGCAGGATCCGCTGTCAAGTGTTGTTAAGGGTTGAGTAGGATGAGGACTCAGAATTGACCGTTGGATTTGACAGTGTGGAGTTTATTGGTGACTCTGACAAGCAGTTTCACTGGAGTATAGGAACAAAACCTGATTGGAGAGTGGGCTCAAGAAGGAATGGGAAGAATGGAATTGAAGAAAGTGAGTAAATATAGCTATTTTGAGGAGTTTTTCTATAAAGGGGAACAGAAAAATGGAACGATGGCTGGATGGGGTTGGGGAAAGAGTTAAGGAAAGATATTGTTCTCTTTTTTTTTTTTAGTGAGGAAGATTTGCTCTGAGATAACATCTGTGGCCAGTCTTTTTTTTGCTTGAGGAAAACTAGTGCTGAGCTAACATCTGTGACAGTCTTCCTCTATTTTGTATGTGGGTCACTGCCACGGCTTGATAAGTGGTATAGGTCCATGCCTGGGATCCAAACCACAAACCCAGGCTGCCAAAGTGGCATGTGCCGGGTTTAACTACTATGCCTCAGGCTGGCCCCCATTCTCTTTTTTTATGGTGAGAAATAATAGAGTGAGTTTGTATGATGGGTGAATCACTGTAGCATAGAAGGGGAAAATTATTGCAAGAATAGGAGACAATTGTAAGAGCAAAGTCCTTGACTAGTCAACTGGAGAGGGATCCAGTGTACAAATGGAGGACCTGGTTGATTAGGAATTCAAGCTGTTCATCATTGAAATAGCGAAGGCAGAGAATATGGATAAGCTATAGGTAGGTTCAGTACATTTGGGTCAAAGGATAAGGAAATTTTCTCTTTTCTCAGTGAACTAGGAACAAAATCATGAACTGGGGATAGGGGTGGAATTAGGGTTTGAAAAGAGAGGAGAATGTGAGAGAGATCTCTGTAAAAGAGAGTTAATTGACTGAAGTTTTAGTCCAGAAATATTTTAGTAGTAGGACTGCAAAGTGTGATGCCAGCCTTTTCAACCTCCGTTTTCCCTCCTGTTTCTTTCTAGAACTCCTTTAGCTAGGTGTTGGAAACTTGGACTGATCCTCTGATTGGAAGGAATTTCTCTCTGATTGTCCCTCTCTTCCCTCAGCTTTATCTTCTAACCCTTCTATAAAAGTTTTTTTATTTCAGCTATCATATTATTTTAATTTTCTACAGCATCCTATTCTTTTTTAATGGATGCAATAGATTCTCACTTAAGATTTTTGTTTTTGTGATTTATTTTCTTTTGTTTACTTCTGTTCCCTGCATAATCTCTGTTGCCTCGAAATTTCCTGTATCTGCTTATTGTTTTGGTCTCTGTCTTTTATGAGGTTTTCTTCAAATGCTTGATGATCCTTGGCTGCCCTATATTTGTGGGGCGTTGAAAAGCTCCATGTGCGTGAATGGGGCTTGTTACTGGTGGCTTCATAATAAGGTGAGCTCGAAGTCAGCTAGCTTTTTCATTGTCAATATATAGAGATCTTTTCTCCAAGACTGTTGAGTTTTTTGGGGGATGGTGAATATATACCTGTCTACTGATCTTTTGGGAAAGGAAGCAGGATAAGGAAGGTGAGAGCTTCATATTTCCGTAGATAGCCTGTTATTCAGTCCCCCTCTGCGCTGTATCCCTGCCCTGCTCTGTGCCTGATATCCCAAGTGTGGACTCTCTAGCTCCGTTTCTCCTGGAAACAACCCTGGCAGAGTGGGATGGTCATCTGGCTGCCTGGTTGGGATGGAGGGGGGGTGACAGAGAGAGGAACTGATTTGTAAACATTACTCCAATTTTAGCCTTTTGTGCTACTTGGTACCTCAAAGAACTGAGACTCTCCGTTTCTTTAGGGCAAATCAACTCATTCTCATCTGAATCCCTACTCCTACTTTGTAATCCACCCCCATGTCCCATTAAGTCACTTAGCACTCCTCTAATAGCTTTCTCTCTTTCAAAGTTTGGGTCTTTTTTATTTGTTTTGTTTTGTTTTTGTTCTTTGGAAAACTCAAATACCCTAATGTAGTCTTTTCTGTTCACTTACTAATGGATTAGTACCTTTTTTTAAAATTGTCTTTTTAGTGAGGAAACAAAGAGATAAGCAGATGTGGTCAATCTACCATGTTTATCCAGAACCTATCTGTATGTTCTAAAGTGTAATCATCACAGTAACTGACATTTATGGAGTGCTTACTGTATGCCAGACAGTGTTCTAAGTGCTTTACTTTTGTTAACTTAGTACTCACGACAAACTTATGAGACAGGTACTACTATTATTGCCATTTTACAGATGAAGAAACCAAGACACGGAGCAGTTTAGTAATTTGCTAAAGCTACACAGCCACTAAGTGTAGAACTAGTATTCAAACTCAGCTGTCAGACTCTGGAGAGACTTCCTGATAAAAACTCTCCAGTAATATCCCATTCTTTTATTTTAAAATCCCAGCAACGTAGCATGTCATTCATGCTCTCCATGATCAGGTCCCATGTCCCTCTCCAGGCTCATCTCTCTCTACTCTGTCCTTGACTTCACCCCTTTCATCTTATAGTCTAGTCATATTGAACTTCTTGCCCTGAATTCACCATGTTCTCAAGATCCTTACGTCTTTTTAATGCTGATCCTTATGCTCTAAACATCCCTTTATTCTCCTGAATGCTCAGTACAGGGTTAAGGTATTTCAGCATATACTTTAAATTGAATATTTGTATAATTTATTCACCTAGCAATCAACTAGTGCTTTTGATTTGTTTTGATTTAGCATATCTTCTTGAAAACTGCATAATTGAATAAAATAATATTTCATTGCGTATGATGGTTCATAAGTCAGACTAAATAAAATTATGTCCTCAAAATTTGATTGTATTGAGAGTGATACTTAAAGATTCTTTTAGAGTATAAGTGAAAAAGTTTATACTTTAAACAGTAAATGAGTTAATTTCATTCATTTGTTAAAATTTCATTCAGTTGTTATTAAAATATGTTCTAATCTTGCTGTTTTTCTTAATAGCTTTTTCTTCCTCTTGCAAATCTGGAATGTTCGCCAAATGTTGAAACTTTCCTTTGCAAAGCTTTTGTACCAACCTGCACAGAGCAAATTCATGTGGTTCCACCATGTCGTAAATTTTGTGAGAAAGTATATTCTGATTGCAAAAAATTAATTGACACTTTTGGGATCCAATGGCCTGAGGAACTTGAATGTGACAGGTAAATTATATTTTCTACTGAAGGATACTAGTGATATTTTAATATTGGTGTAAGTTTTCCAGAATGTTAGCAATAGGCTTTCTTCTTTAATTCACAAATGTTTATTGCACACTTAATATATTCTAAGTGCTGTGGTGGTGACTCTTGTGGACACAATTGTGAGCAAAAGCAGACTTGATTCTTGTTCTCAGGGGATTTACAAGTAGGGTAGGAGGAACAGAGAGTAATCAAATAGTCATACGAATAAATACAAAATTACAACTGTGCTATGTACAACAAAGGAGAGGTGCGTAGTGCTCTGAGAACATGTAATGATGCCTTTGACCTAAACTGGGGGGAAATGAACCCTATTATCAATTACTCACCTTTTTGCACATTAGTCTTGATTGATTACTTTTGTCTCCTATTCTCTAAATGTTGGTGGTTTATAATTTGGAATATTTGAGACCTCACATAATAAAACTAGGGAGGAAGCTGGGTATCTTTTTGTTTCTGTATCTGTAGGCTGAAGAAACTATAGAACCTTTGGAATGTATACATTTCTGGTAGATGCATAATCATTTTCAAGAGCAGTTGAGTAATATATAGTAAAGTAGAAGATGCTCATACCTTTCATCTTAGGAAGTCCCCTTTCTGTATAAACTTTTTCAAAAACAAGGAATCATGCACAAGAATATTGATTGTAGCATTATTCCTAACTTCTGAAAAATAGGAAAAATTCTAAAAGTCCAACGTAAGAATGATTAGTAAATTGTGGTATACTTACACACTAGAATAGTACCATACAGTTGATAAAATGAATGCAGTTGACCCACATCTGTCAATATGGATAAATCTAAAAATTATGGTGTTAAGATATATACAGATATATACAGCATCATGTCATTTATATAAAGTTCAAAACCTGCGAAACAATACAATATAACATTATAGTTCAAAGATAACATAGTAAAAATATTTAAAAGTGCATGAGGAAAATAAAAACTGAACTTGTAATAAATATTTCTGGGAAGAGAGAAGAGAGAATAGGACCAGAAAGGGGTCCCAACTGTATCTGTAACATTATATTGTTTTATTTGAAAGATATAAAGCAAAACTGACATAATGCTACGTTTTGAGAAAGCTGGTAGATACATGAGTGTCCTTTTTATGGGCATACATTTTATTATTTTCTATTCCCATCTAAAACATTTAAAATGCCTTCTCATTGAAAACCCTACTAATTTTTAAACCATATAGATCCTCCAAAATAATACTGGTAGGTCGAAACTCAACTAGTGGTAAAATTCTGCACAAAATGGAAATATCCCTGTGTATCACTCAGGTCTGCCTGTAAACCATGGAGGCAAACTGCCTAACTGAAATAAAATGGTGATGTGAGTTAAGCTGGCCTTCAGCCTACCTCTTGATGATCTTCTTGCCCTTCTCTAAGAACTTAGAGATCACTTGAACTCTACCCTGTCAATCTAGGAAAGGATCTCATTTCATTCATTTTAGTTGTCCTCACCTTACTCATCTTGTTGATCTACTTTGCTTGTGGGCGATAGAAAATAAAAATTAATTTCCCTAAGACTTATATTTGATATGTTATAAACAGACAAGCCAGCACGTTTTTGTCTGGAGAGTACCAATCAAGATAAATTCTTTCTTAAATACTTAGTCTTGAAAGTAGAAATTATTTTAAAATTATTAATTGATTAATTGCTTTCCAAATAAGGAAAGTTTCAAGTTCACTTGCCTTATATTTAATACATATGTTGGTGTGTCAAGGCTTTATTTCCAACCACAAGTTTTTAGTCATCTTCAAAACTTTCGACCCAGCTCTAACCTATAATCTATTTAGGTTTGTATGTCTTCCCATCAGTTACGAATCCATAAGAAAATATTTTATAGTTGGAATGCATAGCATTAAAAGAAACTCATTAAAAATATTGACTTCCTATATTTCATTTTTATAATCTTTACAGATTACCATACTGTGATGAAACTGTTCCTGTAACTTTTGATCCACACTCAGAATTTCTTAATCCTCAGAAGAAAACAGAACAAGTCCAAAGAGACATTGGATTTTGGTGTCCAAGGCATCTTAAGACTTCTGGAGGACAAGGATATAAGTTTCTGGGAATTGACCAGTGTGCACCTCCATGCCCCAACATGTATTTTAAAAGTGACGAGCTAGAGTTTGCAAAAAGTTTTATTGGCATAGTTTCAATATTTTGCCTTTGTGCAACTCTGTTCACATTCCTTACTTTTTTAATTGATGTTAAAAGATTCAGATACCCAGAAAGACCAATTATATATTACTCTGTCTGTTACAGCATTGTATCTCTTATGTATTTTATTGGATTCTTGCTAGGCAATAGCACAGCCTGCAATAAGGCAGATGAGAAGCTAGAACTTGGTGACACAGTTGTTCTAGGCTCTCAAAATAAGGCTTGCACTGTTTTGTTTATGTTTTTGTATTTTTTCACAATGGCTGGCACTGTGTGGTGGGTGATTCTTACCATTACCTGGTTCTTAGCTGCAGGAAGAAAATGGAGTTGTGAAGCCATTGAACAAAAAGCAGTTTGGTTTCATGCTGTTGCGTGGGGAATACCAGGTTTTCTGACTGTTATGCTTCTTGCTATGAACAAAGTGGAAGGAGACAACATTAGTGGAGTTTGCTTTGTCGGCCTTTATGACCTGGATGCTTCTCGCTACTTTGTCCTCTTGCCACTGTGCCTTTGTGTGTTTGTCGGGCTGTCTCTTCTTTTAGCTGGCATTATTTCCTTAAATCATGTTCGACAAGTCATACAACATGATGGCCGGAACCAAGAGAAACTGAAGAAATTTATGATTCGAATTGGAGTCTTTAGTGGCCTATACCTTGTGCCATTAGTGACACTTCTTGGATGCTATGTCTATGAGCAAGTGAACAGGATTACCTGGGAGATAACTTGGGTCTCTGACCATTGTCGTCAGTACCATATCCCATGTCCTTATCAGGTAAAAGCTATCATTTGTATTGTTTCACTATTTAATTTTAACGTAGAAATTGTTCCTTGGAAATACAGTTGAATTAGTCATGGACATAAAATTAGATTTTGGGTGAGAAAGTCCAGTAGACATAGGGAGTGATTCCCCATGCATCAGTTGAAACTGGGGTAAGTGTCTAAAAGGACTTCTTTCCTCAAGTTTTAGCTTCAGTTATAATAGTAAAGTGCCTCCTTTGGCTATTCTTTTGAAAATTAAATTGGGTTGCAAAGGCAGATTAATAGTAATAAAGAACAGAGTCAGAAGAACAGATCTTGTCATAGGGACAAGAAGAGAAGTAACTTCTGGTGGATTGGGAGCTGTTTTAAATTCTTCAGTACTTGTAGGGAAAACCTTACTTGAGTATGTTTAATTTGATCATACTATCTTATAATTTTTTGTATATTATATGCTTACAAAAACAGAACTTGATGTTTGCCTAAACTATCCTGTCATTTCTTAACTAAAAAAAGCACAATTAAAATGTTTCTAATTAGTATAAAGGTGGTGTTTTTAAGATTAAAAAAGTAAGTTTCTGAAAATAGTAAGTTCCTTAAAGCGTTTTAGTTGAGATTTTTTAATAGAAATTTTGTTTTTAGTACAGTATATACATTTTTCTTGAATATTTATATATGGCATTAATTATATTGATTGTGAGTGCTGTCATCATAGTATATCAAATGAAGCAATGTATGGGCTGGATTATTTTACATAGTAATTTATATCCTAGAAAGTTACTACATTATAACATATTGGGACCTATTTTATATACTGATTTGTGGGGCTAATAGTTTTACTTGCCTGACACACTGTTCATAGTCTGTTATCCATAGCCCGTGTTTACTATGTACTTAATGTGGGAGCTGTGTCTTAAAGTGATCCTGCTATATTAAATGTCTCCTATATTCCTCAGTGTTTTTGGTAAACTGGAGGGAAAAAACAACTATTACATACTGCTAAAAATGTTTAAGATCATTGATTTTTAAAAATTATGTTTAATGTAAAGAAAGAAATTATAAAGTATTAGAGAAAATTCAAATCTTAAAGTGGAGAAGGACTTTATAAGTATGAAATAAAATTCAGCAACTATAAAAGAAAAGATTGCTAAATTTGACATGCTAAAAAAAATGTTTTTTAAAGATGCTGCCTGGCCAAAAATCCCACCCAAAATCAAACTCAGAAGACAAACTGGGAAAATGTATTTACACATCATAGTTGAAGGGCTAATTTTCTTAATTTATAAGAGTTCTTGTAGATCAATAAGAAAAAACCTGACAATCTGATATAAAAATGAGAACAGAATATGAAGAGGGTTCGCAGAAAAGGAAAATCAAAAAGCTATTCTTAAATATGTGAAAAATGTTATAGAAGAAATGCAAATTAAAATTACAATAGAATTATATTCCTACTTATGACATGGCAAACATCGAAAGGTTTTGTAACCACCGTGTTTATGAAACTGGCAAAGTACACATTTTCAGACTCTGCTATTCAGTTCATTCAGCCTTCTGTGGAAAGCAGTTCCACAGTATCATTTGCACGTACACTTTGATCCCACCCTTCTGGAAATGTATCGACAGATTTCACAGATGTGAGAGATTACATACACACAAAGATAGTCACTGAAACATTATTTGCAATGGCAGTAGGTTGGAAATAACCTAAATGTCCATTAATAGGGTAGTTGGCATAAATAATGTTCATCCACACAGTGCAACAGCCTGTAAAAATAAATGAAGAGCTCTATTTGTACTGATATAGAATGGTCTCCAAGAAATATTAGTAAGTGCAAAAAGCAAGATATAACACAGAATGTGTAGTATTTTGACACTTGTTCAACATTTAAAAATAATATTTGAAAGTTTATGCTTGAAAGAAAAGCATGAATTTTTATGAAATTTCCACATTTTACTGATGTTTATTTTGCTCTAACCAACCATGTTTTTATAACATAAACATCAACAATGCGTAAAGACTCTAAAATATACGTTGTTATAATGAGTTTAAATGTGTTTTTGTGGTAGATTAAAGTGAAGGAAAATAGATTAATATTTAGAGGCAAATATTTTGGCAGTTATAAGAGGCTGCTGTACTTATAGGGAAAAAAAGCTGTTGGGAAATCAAGCCAAAATTTAGGGTATCCTTCCTAAATATATTTGTTTTCCTTTTCTAGCTATATATTTTGATGCACAGATAAAGGTTCTTTGTTCAGAACTTTGGTAAAGAAGGTATTACACTTAAAGCGTTATTCATTATATTATATCAAGCACTTTATAGTAAAACAGACTGAAGATTTATATTTTTTGTTCGTTTTATATTTACCATATAGACTTCTCTCCACTTTAAATGTGTCACTGAAATTTTTTTTATTCACTATTTTTTTGTAGGCAAAAACAGAAACTCGACCAGAATTGGCTTTATTTATGATAAAATATCTGATGACGTTAATTGTTGGCATCTCTGCTGTCTTCTGGGTTGGAAGCAAAAAGACGTGCACAGAATGGGCTGGGTTTTTTAAACGAAATCGCAAGAAAGAGTAAGAACCTATTTATATGACATTGTTTTAAAATAAATAGATCAGATATCAAGGAACTATTCAAATCGTCATTGGATTGGAGTTTTATTATAGCAACTGTTGTTTCAAGTTTGGAAATCTTTTTCATGGAGAGAGATGCTTTATTTTGGCATTTGTTATAGTCTTTGATATATACTATTCTATTGAAATGTGAATGAAAGATATATAAAATGCATTTTCTTTCCATAGCTTATAATATATCTAATATTATTACTACTTTCATTGGATTCATTATTTTGGTGTAGCATTTTAAATAATTTTATCCTTTTTTATCAATGATAAAAGATTAAATGGAGTCAAATGTATGTAAGGAAATCTATAAAGTATGATTTAAATGTGATGTCTTATGATCATTATTTACTACCTTTATATTTTATTATACACAGTGCTGATTTAAAATTTCACTTATTTGCTTTGCCTACAATGGTAAAAATTCAAACTTATGGAATATTCTGTAACAAAATAGTTGATTTACATTTATGAGTAGTGCATTTTAGTTATCTATATACATTGTATACTATGTACTATCAACAATGTACTATAGAGTTTTTTAAACGTTTCTTATTGGTTTGATTAATGAACTTTTTTGTGGTAAAAATTTCAGAACTGTAGACCTTTTCAAAATAAGTTTTTGAAGTCTAAAGAATTGCACTTAACTGGACTTTAATTTTTTGCACTATTATTATATGTCTATCCTATATTTATGTACCCACATTAACTTCAATATAACTTGCTAACTTTAGTGTTAGAAGGCAAACAATTAAATAACAAAGACCACTAATTATGTTCTGTCTTTTCTCTTCTGGTTTATTTTTACATTGGATATATTTATGTATGATACACATACAGATAGTCTTTACTTTATGCTGGCTTGAGTTTCCTCACCCTTATCCTTTGATTTTGCCTATTTAATTTCTTAGCAGTCTACTGTTTATGCTGACAAAGCAACTAACAGTGTATGCACAAAAGATTTCACCTCGTGTTTGTATACTTACATCATAGTATTTATAATCCCAGGTTTTATAAATGATATAAATTATATAGAATTTATAACTTAATAAGGATCTTTGGCACAAGACATGTGGTATGCTTTATGGCTTCTACTATAATACTTAACATTTATCAAGTAAATCTCCTTGGATTTTCCTACAGTCCAATCAGTGAAAGTCGAAGAGTTCTACAGGAGTCATGTGAGTTCTTCTTAAAGCACAATTCTAAAGTTAAACACAAAAAGAAGCACTACAAACCAAGTTCACATAAGCTGAAGGTCATTTCCAAATCCATGGGAACCAGTACAGGAGCTACAGCAAATCATGGCACCTCCGCGGTAGCAATCACTAACCATGATTTCTTAGGACAAGACACTTTGACAGAAATCCAAACCTCACCAGAAATGTCAGTGAGAGAGGTGAGAGCAGATGGAGCGAGCACCCCCAAATCAAGAGAACAGGACTGTGGGGAACCGGCCTCCCCAGCAGCATCCACCTCCAAACTCTGTGGGGAGCAGGCTGACAGGAAAGGCCGGGCAGGGCTCGCGAACGATAAGAGCAGTGTGTCTGAGAGCGCTCGGAGTGAAGGAAGGTGAGCTTTGATTTTGTTTTCTTAATCATGACGGTTTTGAATACCGCACTATACGTTTTCATCAAAACATAGCACATCCGGAAAGAAAGCATTCTGTGAGATGACATGTCTATGCACTTAATCCAAGGAAGTTTGGGTTTAAGACGTTTGGGTTCAGCCTATAAATATGCCATTTTATAGTTTAATTCTTAGCTTTGAGAAGAGCCTTCATGTATGTTGTTCATTTAGAACAGTAACATTCGTTTCTGGGGTAATTGTTAAGAGTTATTTGTATATTTAGGTAAATTTTTAAGATTCATCTGAAATACAGGCTGAGTTTTAATTAGGACTGCATTATGGTACTTTCTAAAAGGAATTTGTTAGTTTATACAAAGACGATTATAAAATGTTTTTATTTTCTGAACATGAAAGGATATTAGCATTATCTTTAATGAATTTTTCCAAATGGTCATAGGTGCTCCAAACACAGGTAAACATCGAATTAACCAGAATGCTGACCCCTAACTACTTTTAGGTCTCATGGTTGTCTTACCTCACCCTCCCAAACTAGGCCAAGTACACCTTCTCTGTGTTTCTCTAACAGCTTTTGCATACCTAGATTGTATTAAATACGTGCTTTTATCCTCCACTAGGTTTGTAGACTCCGGAAAGGCAGAGCTGAGGTCTTATTCCTGTATTCCCATCCTCTTATGCAGTGTCTGACCCATGGTGGGAAATCAATAAAATATTTGCTAAACCAAGGGCAGGATTCCTGTCTTATTGTGTTCCCATGAGACATGGTGCTCAGCACATGCATGGGTGGTGTTTGACAAAGTTTCCAAAGTTAGCCAAAATTGTATTTGAAAATAAATTATTTGTATTTTGAGATATTAGAATATACATAAGAGCTTTAATTATCCTCAGATAAAGGTAGACTTTGGTTGCAAGTAAAACTGATGAAAAATGGATAGCAGTTATGAGGACATCTTGCGTCACGTCTGTGCTTTGGTATGTATGTATGTATGTCAGCTTTTTTCTTCTGCCTAGGCTAACTCCGAAAAGTGATGTTACCGAGACTGGCCCGGTGCAGAGCAGCAACCTGCAGGTCCCCAGTTCTCCAGAGCGAAGCAGCCTGAAAGGCTCCACATCACTGCTCGTTCACTCTGCTTCAGGAGTTAGAAAAGAACAGGGTGCTGGCAGTCACTCGGACGCTTGAAAACCAGGTTATCCCGTTTCTTTGAAGTGGCTTTGCGTTACACTGGAGTTACAATACACTGTCCTGTAAGAATCACTGTTATATTCTTCTTTTGCACTTAGAGCTACGTTGCCTGCTGTTACACTGGAAAAAACAATATATACCTGAAAACCACAAATGTGCAGGTTAATAATATTTTTTAAGTTGTGTAGGAGGAGGGAGTTAGAGGAATCTTCCTTTTCTATTTATGAAGATTCTAGATTCTACTCTTGTTAAAAGTATTTTAAGATGTACTATGGTATTTCACTTTTATGATATAAAATCAAGATTTTTCTTTGCTAAAGTATTTAAAGCTTATCCTTTTATCCTTTTTATATATTTGAAAATAAGTTTATATGTATTTGAACTTTTTTAAGAAATACTGGAAAATCTATTCAAATATTTTTATTATGTTATTCTGATATTTTAGCACTACTTTGGTAGCTTTTACACTGAATTTCTAAGAAAATTCAAAAAAAGTATTCTTTTAGAGTATAAAAAATAGTGACACACCAAAAGGTGTTATAATGAGAATTCAACTGAAAAATCCACTTATTCTACCTTATCGTCTTCACTGTGTGCATTTTATAAGATCTCATTACTTTAGGAATTTCACGGATCTGTTATGCAACTGAAATAAGGTGCTACTGAAAGAGCGTCCAATGTTGATCGTCTTGTGCTGCTCGCTGATCCTGGAGGGTTAGTAGATGAAATGTTACTCTTTCATAAATTAAGCCAAGTGCAATTGATCTCATTTTTTTTAATGTTTCATGACCACCCAAGATCGTATTATTATAACCATTTACAGTTGCTTATACTTTTGTTTTAACTTGTTTTTTAACAGGAATTAGAATTCTACAAACACTTTGTGTTAGTGCAGTATCTTTCCCAGACATTGTGTAGAATTCATTTCTGCAGCTAAATAGGATTTTGCTGAACGTTCAAAGGTGTATTAGCAATATTAGCGCCAATCAAGTGGAAAAAAATGTAGTCCTGATAAGACAAATGAAATGTATTTTGTATAACATCCTTTAAAATGTTAGAATTTTCTTAGTTTTGTTTCCAATTAAGTATTATTCCTTGAACAATGTTTTCTGATGCTTTTGGTTTTTTCTCTATTTAGCATTCTGTTAAAGCATAAAAGAAAATTATCATGTACTGTATGGAAAATGTTGTAAATATTAACTTTTTCACTTTTTTTGACTTTGTATGCAAAATTTTGTTTTATGTGATCTTTTTAGTAATAAAATTTTCTCTATATAAGAGATTTTGGAGAATTCTGTGGTTATATATAGTGCTCCTGGCCCAGGAAGTGGTATAATTTTTCATATCAGTGGCTCTATGACTAAGAAGCCAGAAGCTTCTCTTTAACTGGAGAACAAGACGACAGTCAGGACTCTCTTTTTTTAAATTTGTCACAGTTTCTTCCCAAAGAATAAATTATACAGCCATATTTTCCATAACTTTTTAAGCCAGTGGGAGACCTGGGGTATGGGGTGAATCAAAGGGAACCCAGGACCCTGCTATGGCTCCTGACAGTGGGAAATAAAGCAATATCACCCTCAAGACACTAAAAAAACCCTAATAAGATAGTGAGAAATTGCCAGGCTAAGATCTGAGAGAAGAGAAATTCACACTGCCAACAAGCCCCACATTTGGAGCTTCTTTTGCCCACAGAGCATTTGATGATTTGGGAAAGATGACTGAGAGGTTGAACAGTACTATTAACAGCCTCAAAGTCAAGGACAAGGGGAAAGCAGTCTGGCAGACCACACTACTCTCAAAATTGTAACCTCAAAAGAGTGTATCCTAGGACTAAGTGTGAACTGTAAGGAAAGCAACCCTACTTCCAGTTATCTGAGTGGACTAGAAAAACCTCTCGCCTTGGAATTAGAATAAGATAGTTCTGATTAGTAGTACCCTCAGGCACCAGGCAGAAGAAAATGAAAATCTTCTCTGGAGGAAGATAATGTCATTCTACGTACTCCACAAATACTTTTTTAAATACAATGTTTATCATATAATCAAACATAATCAGGGACGCAAAAGACAATACATGAACAAGAATTGGCACAAACATCAGATGAGAGAAGGATCAAGACGTACGCCTGAATTAGCAGGCATAGATTTAAGTTCATTTAAGTTAAAAAGGTCAGCAAGGAAAACAACAATGAGATACCATGACACACCTATTAAAATGGTTAAAATCCAAAAAGCTGACAATACAAATTTCTGGTGAGGATGCAGAACAACAGGAACTCTCCTTTATTGCTGATTGGAACGCAAAATGGTACAGCCACTTTGGAAAATATTTGGGCAGTTTCTTAGCTAAACATGGGTCTTACCATATGATCCAGCAATCGTGCTCCTAGGTATTTATCCAACTGATTTATGTATATATTCTGCCCTTGTTCCGTATAACTCTCCACTCCTTAAGTCTGGGCAGCACATAGTACCTTCCTTCTAAAAAATATAGTAGGGAAGGGGGCTGGAGGAGAGTGACTTTTACAGTGGAGAAAGTTGATGGATGCTACCTCAGGTGATGGTGGTTAACATTAACAGTAATAAGTCACATTGAGAGTATATACCCTTCATATGATGTGATGAAAATGGCACTTGATCACTGTGACCTTCATCCCCCAAATCTATAACCTCTGTCTAGTCATGAGAAAAACATCAGACAAATCCCAACAGATGGACATTTTACAAAATACCTGACCGGTACTCCTCAAAACTATCAAGATCATCAAAAACAGTCTGAGGAACTTACACCCAAGAGGAGCCCAAGGAGACATGGTGACTGAAGGTAATGTGGTGTCCTAGAAAAGAAAGTACATTAGAAAAAAACTAAAGGAAATGAATAAAGCATGGGCTTCAGCCATTCTATTCAGCGACATGTTCTTTAATTATGTGTCTGATAATTTCCTCCCTTTGGCTTTTTTTTGTTGAAATTCCTTTTAACCAACTATTGGACATCCTGGATGGATCCTCTAATTTTCTCATTATTCGTCTCCTATGGTCCATCGTTTTGAATTTTTGTTCTATTTCTAAGAAAATTTCTCAAACATTTCTTCTAAATTTCTATTGAATTTTTTTTTTCTTCTGCTTTATCTCCACAAATCCCCCCTGGTACATAGTTGTATATCCTAGTTGCAGGTCCTTCTAGTTGTGGCACGTGGAATGCCGCCTCAACATGGCCTGACAAGTGGTACCATGTCCGCGCCCAGGATCCGAACCAGTGAAACCCTGCGCTGCTGCAGCAGAGCGCGGGAACTTAACCACTCGGCCACGGGGCCGGCCCCTCTATTGAATTTTTATTTTGGCTATCATTTTTTGACTTCACAGAGTACTTCTTATGTCTGTTCTGTTTAAATAGTTTCTTTTTGTTTTATGATTCTTTTATGTACATAATTTACTTTTTAAAGGTCATATAGAAAACTTTAATTTTTAATATTTGTTTGTAACAGATGACTTATTAAAGTCTCTTAGTCACTCTAATAATTTTGTAGTTAATTTTCCTGGATTTTCTAGTTGGATGATCTTTTTGTCTCAAATAATGGTAATTTCATTTCTCATCATTAGCTGGAACTTGGAGCCAGTAATCATTAACAGTCGTAGCAGTAGGCATCCTGTCTTACTTATTTTAATGAAAACGCCTGTGGTACTGTACTTCATCATTAAGAACAATGTTGGCATTTGACATAAGAGATTTTTTAACAAGTTGATAAGAATTCTATTCCATTTCACAATTTTTTAAGAAATTTTTTTAAATTGAATTTTATCAGATGCCTTTTTGCTATCAGTATTAGTCAAGGTAGGCTAACTGCTAACAAACAATCTTCAAAATCTTAATAGCTTAAGAAACTGTTATCACTCATGTGACAGTTAGGTGCAAATGTTATTCAGGTAGCCTTCCAAGTGATTATTCAAGGACCCACCACTTTCATCTTGTGAATCTGCTATCTGTTAGGGCTTCAGATTCTTCTGCAGGATTCTCTGCACCCAGCCAGCAGATAGAACAAGAGAGAGAGTAAACGACTGCACAAGAAAAATATGTCAGAGCGGGAAGTGGTACACATAATTTCCAGCCACATTCCATTTGCCAGAACTCAGGCACAGAACCACACCTAAGTGCAAGGGAGGCTGGGAAATGTAGTCTAGGTCTGCACCTGGGACGGAGAAGAAACAGGCTTAGTGAGCAACTGGCCAGCAATATTTCAATCTACAAATGTGATGTAGTCAGTAAATTTCTTAATACAATGCCATCCTTTCATTCTTTGAATAACTCTAATTGATCACAATGTATCATTTATTATACTGCTAGATTTGATTTGTTAGTGATTTATTTGGGATGAAAATTTGCATCCATATCCAACTATATTCTAAATGATTTCTCGACCATGGGCGTAATATTTGTCGTCAGTAAGCTTGAATTTTAAAAATCTTCATTTTTAATAGCAAACTACAAAAATCTAATACAAAAGAAAACAGCAATTTCTCTTTTTTGTGGGACCAGAGTCTTTGATGCAAAAAGAGCCTGCTATTTCAGAGATGGTGGTATTAATTTTTGTGAAAATTACATAGCATTTTTAAACCAAGAAAGTTGACCTAAATTACATAATATATTTACATTTCCAACAAGAAGTTTGGCATGAAGGATGTGCAGCTAATCTCGACAGCAGTAAAGATGTCAATAAAGCAGCATTTCACTTTGAAAGTTGGCCACAAATCCTCAACAGAACTGTATGGAATGCCGTCTTTCAAAAAGACTCAGTACATCCATTGGGATCCATCACTGCTACGCTATTCGTGCTACTGCAGGAATCTCCTCTAGACTTTCCTCGAAAAACTAGACCAAAAACAGCTTTTAATTGCCACCCATCATCAAAATCACAGTTTTAGTGCTTCCCTACTTCTCAGAAATGTGCCACTGGTGGGCGTTTCCAGTTACTACTGCTGGAAAGTTTTAACATTGCCCAGGCAGGCACTGGTACTGTCAGGAAATGAAAGATACAATTTTGAATAACCACAAGAAGCCCAGCTGTTACTTTTCTGCGTGGAAAGTGTAATCTTTACTACCTCGCTTGTGCCCAAAGCACAAATCAAAGACTTAAATTCCAGAAGCTAAAGATTTTAACAGAGGCCACTGTGATCTGTTATGTGCAGAAGAATCAAACTTTCATTAACTCACAATGGCAGTGTGTCAAAAAGAGAAAAGAGAAGAAAAGATTAAAAGGCTAATCCGAATTATCCAAAGACATTGGGACCCAGAGCTAAACAGGAGTGGAAAGTGGTAGTAAAGTTTGTTATGGACATGGCCGGAGAAGTGGAAACCAAAAGGAGCAATGTGACAAGAAGTGTGATAAAAGGAAAAGAAGAGAGGACCGGAAGTGGTAGATACTAATTAGAAATTAAAATAAATGAAAAAAAGATTGCTAAAATG